CTTCCAGTAATTTAACTTATATATTATCCTTTATTTTCTGAACCTATATGAATCTGGGGAAGTGAGAAAGACCTGCGGCCTATTTAAATGTTTGCTGAGGTCCCCAGGAATATTATTTCCCAGGTCATGAGCCTACATCAGATAAACAATCTGCTGTTGCAAGCACGAAGATGGCAAAATACAATTCAGCTGTCAAGAAGAAAGTGATAACAGTCCTGGGATACCAACATTGCTTCTGTGGTGTGGGACCATGGCACAGAGATCTACCAACACCTGGATGTCTGCATGCAACCAATAATCAAAGCAAATGTCACATAAATTTAGGGAACAGAGGAGGAAGTCAACATGAATGTTGCCAAGCAATAAGATGCTTAGGACAACACTTGGTATCTATTTTGATCAGATAAGTTGCACCTTTTGTGCATGGCAGGCTCATGTTTCCAGAGATCTGAGTCCCTCTATGAGATGTTTGTTCTGTATCTAGGTAGTGGTTTATATGTCTGTTAATCAGATTCCTTTCCTTACAGCAGAGATCTGGAGATTTGCTGCAGCTTCCAACTTTTATGTTGAAAAGGCTCCATGTTTCTAAAATGAAACTGACTGTTTATGAAGAAAATTATTTACAGACATTCTCTAACTGCAGAGAGACTAATACAGAGACTAACTTTCTGTGTCTCTTTGCAGACTGCCAGATAGAGTATTTCTCTGTCCAGCGACCACAGATGTTACTTCTGCAACCCCTCTCCCATCTCTTGCTTGAATCTGCTTATACCTCCCTTAAGTCTGTTGTCTTTTCTCCTTTGACAAAGCTGCTCAGGTATACAGCAGAGGAGCAAAACCTTTACATTTCTACAGATTTAAGGGACTCAACAAAACTATTCTCCATTTTTATGGTACTTCACCATATCCAACAACAGCGGTTAAGGTTTTGGAACATAACAGGAAAAGCTTCAAAGGACAATTAGCCTTGGTAGCTCCCAGCAGGACACCATGTGCACTTGACTTTCTGTATATGAGTAATTGTGGCATGCCAAAGCCAGGTCATGTGGTAAAGAAACCGGGGAAAGAGAACCATCAGTGTCTGTGTGCTGAAAATTTCTGCAGAAGGAAAAGAAAAAGACTGACTGCAGGACATCATCATGAGCTAAGAGAGTCAAGAAGGGAGTTGAGGTATTTATGCTAAAAGTTAGAAAGGTATTCTGTCTGGCAGCTCTGAACTTCTTGTTTTATAATTAAAGAGGCTTGCAAGTCTTCTTGTTTGATAACATATTCCACCTGCTTAGACTTTAAGGAAAAATATTAGAAGACTTGCAAGAAGACTGAATCTCATTAGTTAATATGTTATTCTGAAGTTACTGCTTGGGCAAAGACAGTGAAACTCATCCAAATCAGCTTTTCCACTTCATTGAGGATTTTGTAGACCTTTTTCCTACCTACCTTACATTGTCTCTTTTCTGAGGTGAACAGTCTTAAACTATTTAACTTGTAAGATTTCATATTACTTTCTTAGATCATCCCATATGCCCTTATCTTGATCTTTTCCAGTCCTTGTAGATCCTACCTAGACAATATTGAATATGATGTGCAGTTTTGGGCACCACAGTTTAAGAAAGATATTAAGCTATTAGAGACTGTCCAACGAAGGGCAATGAAGATGGTGAAGGGCTTTGAGGGGAAGCCACATGGGGAGCGACTGAGATCACTTGGTCTGTTCAGCCTGGAGAAGAGGAGACTGAGGGAAACCTCATTGCAGTCTCACCAAGGGTAAGCAGGGAGGCAGACACTGATCTCTTCTCTCTGGTGATCAGTGATTGGATCTGAGGGACTGTCCTGAAGCTGTGTCAGAGGAGATTTAGATTAGATATTAGGAAAAGATTCTTCACCCAGTGTGTGGTTGGGTACTGGAACAAGCTCCCCAGGGAAGTGGTCACAGCACCAAGCCTGACAGAGTTCAATAAGCATTTGGACAACACTCTCAGGTACAGGGTGTGATTCCAGGCGCTGTCCTATACAGGGCCAGGAGTTGGACTGAATGATCCTCGTGAGTCCCTTCCAACTTGAGATATTCTATGATTCTAGGACTACCAACCCTGACTGTCCCTGCCCAGTTTCCCCCAGTGCCCTGCTCTGGGCTGGGGGTGTGACGGGCTCTGACTGCCAGACCACTTCAGAAATGCATTGAAATTTAAAAATATACGTACTTGGTGCACCTCTTGGGCACAGAGAAGGATTTAAGTTAGCCAACATCTCATTCAAGTATTGATACTTTTAAAATTTGTGTGAAGGGTCTATGACAATATCAAGTTTAAAAAAAAAAATAAAAATATGAACACATATGCAAAGAAAAAATCAATCTTCATGCATGGGAAAAATAATAGACTTAAAACAATATAGAAATCTAAAAAAACCACAATAACAATGTGAAACAGAATAATTTTATTCCATGACTTGGGTTCTCTACCCTTTTCTATGTTTGGAAGTTTTTCACACATGGCAGATGAAAACAAGGGAATGAATCTTAAATCACAGCCTTTTTAGTTATTGTTATTATTATTATTATTATTATTATTATTATTATTATTATTATATGTACGCAAAAGTTCAAGCAGATTCATAGATTAAATTTCTAGACAATTAAAAAAAATTAAAACCACAAAACCCCTCCAACCTCCAAAACAAACAGAAGCATTCTTGTCTTCTCAGTAAAATTACATTAACTACAGAGGCAAGCAAGTAAGCATGTTACCTGGGGCCCATATTCTCCAAAGTGAAGCTAACATGGACATGAACTTCTCCATAACCTCACAAATTGCAATCTACATTTATGTGTGTATATATATTTATATATCTATGTGTGTGTGTGTGTATATGTGAATGTCAACTCACATCAACTGTCCAAGGAAGGTAGAAGTCATTGTTCTTATGATGCCCCAGAAGAATAGGTTTTCAGGATCAAAGAACAGTATATTGGGCCACTTTTAAAGATAATTTATTCTCTTCCTCTCTAATAAAAACCCTCAAAGCCTTCACAGTATACACCATCAGACTCAAAAGATTGCTTTTGTTGGTTCATTTTTATATTCCTTTCTCAAGGAACAGTCTCGCTGACCCAAATGGGAATTTTGCCTAATCTGAGCTAACTAGAGGCTAGTTGGTGAAATGGCATGAAGATGTACCTGAATCTGTACCCGAGGCATCCTCCTTATTTCTTTTTAAACATTGTCAGAAGAGAGATGAAGGGCTGTGTTGAGCTGTGTGAGGATGGAGAGAAGAACATTTTCAGTCAGTTGTGACCATCTATTTTCTCTTGCAAAAGGAGCAATTCAGTATTTTTCAAAATATAACTGTTGACATCCAAAGTGCAAGGTTTCTCCCTTTTGGCTCTATTTGGTGTCAGTTACAGTTCAGGCACATTGAAGAACATTTTAGGAGAGACTATACGCTCACAGATCAGGTTCAGAATAAAACAGAGTCTGCATTAGAGGTAGGAGAAGTAATGGTTTTCATTGTAAAAATATTTTCATGGTAAAAAAAAAAAAAAAGGGGAGAGAGATTTCAGTATAACCTCCAAGAAAGTTTCTGCTGCAGCAAAAATGCTGAAAACAATTAAACACTTTTGGCAGTGAGAAAGCTGGAATTCTGTGAAAGTGGATGGTGAAGGGTATCTTCCAGGCAAATTGATGGGAAGGTTTAGACAGCTTACATATCATTGAGGCTGGCCTTGTAGGCAGAAAATGTGAAGATAATTAAAACTATCACTTGAAATGCCACAAAATATTGAATGTTCCCACTGGCTTTACTAAGTCAGGTAAAGTAATACTAGGTCCACTCTTCTCCAAAAACTGATGATACTTTAGCAGAAGGTAGGACATACAAATATGTCATGGTGCATTTTGTGGTTTTCTGACATCTGTCATGAACACATTCATGGTGATCAGTGGTGGAAAATTGCATTTTAATTATGTTATACTCAAAGAAAAATGACAGATTTTAAGGACCCTGCGTGTTGCAGTGCAGCAAAAGGATACTGTATAGCTTTGTCTCACTTGTGAGGGGAAACTCGTCCAGCACTCTCAGATATATTTTGGTTCTCCACTATCAATGAGGGCCAGAGGTAGGTAAAAAGCTGTAAATATGGCAGGAAAAACTTTGCCTTTGTCTGTCCCCAGTGTATGGTCCGCAGTTGTCTTTCCAAGCACACAAGCAGTTGTTGAGATGTGAGAAAAATTAAAAGAAAAACATGTCATGGTATATGCAAACAAGCTGGAGAAGGATATTTCAGAAAAGCATTCCAGATACAGGATGCACAATCCACCTGCCATAACCTACTATCAGAGTATGTGGTACAGCTCCCATTCTCATGCCTTACTTTCCTTTTTCTCTTCTTCTTTCTGTTTGCCTACCTGAAAGCCATCTGTTTCGGACATCTGGACATAGGGATGGAGGTTCAGTTGATTTCTGCTGGTACAAAATCACTCTCCAGTCTGTGGTTGAATTCTCGTTTATCCAGCTGAAAATCTGGTTGATAATCCACACCATCACTATAAGGAAGATAAAATCATTGCCCATGCATTATATAAAGCTAAATTCTCTGCTAAGAGGGATGGTTCTTCTACATATGGCTTAGAGTACATGTTAATGTGAGAAGATCTTTGTTTTTTTTTTAAAAACTGCTCCCCATAGTCCTGAGAAATGAATAACTTCAAGAAATTAAAATATAATCCATTCAGCGGCTGAAGTAGTTGCAAACATTGTTAGTTCTAGCTTTTCTTTCATTGCAAGAGATATTTTGCTGTATAAAATTGAAATAAATAGTATGAGTCAATCTGTCCTTTTCAAATGTCAGTGTGGTTTGGTTCTGCTAAACTGTTGGGTGAGTGTTGTTGTGAATTCACAGTGGCTAGGCATTATGAATTAATGGTAAAATGACATGCTACTTTTATTCATTCTTTTATAGAAATACAAGAAGAGAGAAAGCAATACATAAAAAAACCCCAAAAACCAAAACAAACAAAAAGCCCCCCAACAACCCAAAGCCGAGCATGTTGCTTAGAAAAACAACCCCCTTGCCCCAAACCCAGCTTCAGTGTATGCTGTAATTCGTGTACAGTAATAGTTCACATTCACAGAGAATCACAAGTCTTTGGTTAAACCCTATTGTACAACCTGAGAGTAACTTTTGTCCTAAATTCATCCCTTGGTCTCATGTGGTAGGGCTACTTCCAAGCCAACTCCTAATTATTAATGTTGAGTTTGCTTCAGTGCCTTCTTAAATAAACTCAATTCCTTTAAGGCTTCCATTTCTTACCAGAAAATACTGGAGTAGAATGTGCAATGTAAGTACAGATTGAGTTCTGTCACAAAAGCCAGGTATTTTGAGAGTAGCCATTCAAATGGAAATATCTTCTTTGTTTACTCATGAATCTCACATGTCTTTCTTCTGGGCATGTCTAAAGCTAAAAAACACTTTCCTGCCTTTGCAAATAGACTTTTACTCCCTCTAACCCATCCATAGGTCCACTTGACATTGACCTGGCTGACATGGTCCTGCCAGAGAATAAACTTTCCCTTCTGGTTTCTAAGCTGTCGCTGAGCAGTACCTTTGGGCGAAACAATTGCATGAATTTCTGGTAAAATTCTTTGGATGCAAAATAATAAATGAAGGGATCTATGCAGTTGTTGAAGCAACTGAGGCACAAGGTGAGCTTGTAGGCAGGGTACAAACTGCTGTCATAAAACAGGCGGATGATCATATGTGCAAGTAGGATAAAGTTGTTGGGGGCAAAGCAAGTGATGAACACCAGAAGGACAATTGTCGCCAGGTAGATGGATCTAGTCTTCTGCTTATTACCATATCTGTTCGATGTCTGAATTAGCTTCCGAATGATGCCAATGTAGCATCCAACTGTTACAACAAAAGGGATCAGGAAGAGGACAACAAATAGGGTGAGGAGAAAGACTACCCAGGTTTCAAAGTTGGGCAGCATATCCCATTTTAGGACATCAAAACAGGTTATAATCCCCAATTCTTTCACTTCATAGGTCAGATCTGTGCTTTCTAATGGGTACAAGGCTAGTAGCAAGAAAATCCACATAACTAGACAGGCAGCAAAGGCATATCTTTTTCTTCTCCACTTGATCAACTTCATGGGGTATACCACACCCATGTACCGCTCAATGCTGATAAAGGTCATGGTCAGTATGGAAGAATACATGTTGGAGTAGAACATCACAGTCACAAGGCTGCAAAGAGTCTTGCCAAAGCTCCAGTGATTGCTTTGGAAGTGATAAGAAATCTGGAAAGGAAAGCAGCTGGCCAGCATGAGATCCGTGATGCTTAGGTTGATCATGAAGATAACAGAAGGTGTTTTGGGTTTAATGTGCCAGCAGAGCACCCAAAGGGAGAACAAGTTGCCAGGGATGCTGATCAGAGCCACCACTGTATACACAACTGGGAGAGTGATGGAGACAGTTTTATTCTGGAGCATTGCCAGCGTCAAAGCATCCAGGTGGGATCCGTTTTTAATCATTATTCACAAGGAGGTTGTTGATTCCTGTAAGTCAGCTGGATCATATCATGAACACTTGGCTTCAAAACCTAAAGGAGAAATGTTAAGTGAAAAAAGCAATACATCAACACAGAAATTAAGAATATAATCCTTCTATTAATGAACTAAGTAGTTTGTCAGATATTCTCTGAATGTACTGAATCTATTAAAATTACCTTCTGAAAACTCTCTCCTCCCTCCAAATCATGGTAGTGTTTTACGAGTCTCACTTCTTCTTGTTTTTGAATGGCTACTTTTTCCCTGCTGAATGTCTTTCTACTCCTTAGAATCATAGAATTATTAAGGCTGGAAAAGACATCCAAGCTCGTCAAGTCCAACATTTGTCCAAATACCACCACATCAATTAAACCATATGACTAAGTGCCAAGTCCAGTCATTTCTTGGACACTTCCAGGGATAGCGACTTCACCACCTCCCTGGGCAGCCTGTTCCAATGCTTGACCACCCTTCCAGTGAAGAAGTTCTTCCTGATGTCCAACTCGAACCTCCCCTGGTGCAACTCAAGGTCATTTCCTCTTATCATGTCACTTGTTACTTAGGAGAAGAGACTGAAGCCCATCTCAGACCAACCTCCTTTCAGGTAGTTGTAGAGAGTGATAAGGTCTACTGTGAGCCTTCTCTTCTCCAGACTCAACAACCCCAGTTCCCCCAGCCACTCCTAATAAGACTTGTGCTCCAGACCCTTCACCAGCTTTGTGGCCCTTCTCTGGACAGAGTCTAGCACCTCAGTGTCTTTCCTGTAATGAGGGGCTCAAAACTAGACATGGTACTCGAGGTGCAGCCTTAACAGTGCTGAGTACAGGGGCGTGATCACTGCCCTGGTCCTGCTGGCCACACTATTCCTGATACAGACCAGGATGCCATTGGCTTTCTTCACCTGGGCACACTGCTGGTTCATGTTCAGCCAGCTGTTGACCAGCATCTCCAGATCCTTCTCCACTGGGCAGGTTCCCAGCCACTCTGCCCCAAGCCTGTAGTGCTCCATGGAGTTGTTGTGACCCAAGTGCAAGACTCTGTATTTCACCTTATTGAACCTCATACCACTGATCTTGGCCCATCAATCCCGCCTGTCCAGACCCCTTTGCAGTCTATTCATTATCACACCTCTTATGTTACTGTAACATAAAGGAAATCATCTATCACAAACGGAAATTAAATTGAACACTAGGCCACAGATTTTCCATGAGCTAAGTCCATCCTATCTACTCTAGATGTTACGACCTTGATTTTTGTGGTACACAATATCTTCTGACTTTTTCTCCCCAACTAAACAGTGATCAATTCAAAGTAAGTGCTGAAGTTTTCTTTTTTCGTTGTTTTGTTTTCAGCTTAGGGAAAGGAAAACTGTGGGAAGATGGCTGGGGATAAAAATGAGAGGAAAGTTAGAAGTTATATTCACATCCTAACAGAAGTTATAATGGTACAGAAAATATGGGGTAAAATGCAGCTGCTACTCTCTGGATGGACTGTGGTTGGCAGTTCCACGATGATTCCCCATACAACAGTAAGCACCTGCTAAGGGGGATGGAACAGAGGGTGGAGCAGAGGGGAGACCCCACAGCCAGGCTCTGTGATGAAATCTCTCTCCTCAGATGAACTTGGTTCATTAAAGCCTAATTGTAATATTAACTCACACCTCCATCCCAAAGTTACCCACCTCCAAGGTATGACCGCCCCTCACTGGGCGTGCACTCTATAATTTTTTTGAAAATGAAGTGGGAGATTTTACACCAATCAGCAACAAAGGTATTTATGACTGAAGTCACTCAAGCTCCACCTAAATATAAAGAAATAGTATAAAAGTAAATCTAGAATGGGGGGAAAGTTAGGAAGGCTCCATTGTAATTGCTGGGATTAGTCGAAGGGCTTCTCCCCCACAGGGACATGTATTGGGTAAGGGCTGTACTCTGTGTGTGCTGAATACTTTATTTAGGATAAGAACTTGTCTCAGTATTTCTTTAAATACGTTTTTGCAGTCAGATGCCATCACCAGCCATCTTCAAACCTTAACGTGTCACAATTTTATATTAATAAAGTGTGTTATTCTGTAAATTGTTAGTGTGAGCCCTTGACAGACACCAGCAGTTGCCAGCAGCCAGTAACACACTCAAATAAAGTGGGAAGATCTGCTGAGGGGTCTCCCTTATGCTGTTGGTGTGTTTCTCTGAGTAAGTCAGTTGAACCACCCTCTGATTCAGCAGGACTGATCAGTGAAGCGTCCCATAAGAGGACACTGACCGACTGGTCAGGCACAAGGGTCTCCACTTTCCTGGGGCATTGACAGGCAAATACTAACAGCCGAGGAAATTTCCCCACAGTAAGGGTCAAGAGAATCTCCCCTCTTCACACAACAGGAACATGCAATCCATTATTCTTGGTATATTTATAATATAAACAGAATATAAAGAAAAAAAAAACACATGAGAACAAGGGACAGATTGCAGTTGTTTGGACTCATTTACAGGCTGAAAGGACCAGGCTTAAGAAGGAACAAGCCCTCTGCTAATAAAAAGAAAAGCTATTGACTTTCAGTTTCTGCAAGATGTAAGTTTTTTAAAAACGTTCTGTTTGCAGCTGTCTTATTTGCACCACCTGTAATTCTCCAAAATTAGTTTCAGTTTTGCAGCCTGCAAAGCAAACCCATGCTTTCACTGTCTGGCTTATGTAGATCTTTCTTGGCAGATGTAATAGATTATGGTTAACTTATTTATTTTAAGCAGCGTAGTAGCATTCAGCAGTTGCAGGCAAGAACTCATGCCTTAATGTGCTACATGTGTGCCTACTTTCATTAAGCTGCAAGTACAGGCATGCAGTTTCACAAAAGTACAGGCTTGAAAAAGTGAAGAAATTGCAGTGAATGTCCAGAAAGACAGAGGATAGATCTAGAGTAAGTTTTGTGAAGAGTGGCAATAGGGGTCTGAAGAGGTGCCAGGCCAAGTCAACTGATAACTGTGGGCACATGTATTATGTTTAATAACAGGCAGAGAGAAGGTTCAGACACACAGTCCTGCTTGTGGACTCTGATAGCCTGCACTGTTTAATCCAATCCAAGTGTCTGACTGCAAGACACACCTGCTGCAGGAGGTCAGATTAAAAACCATAGGTGCCAGTTAGTTGGTGTCACTTAACCTCAGATCTAGTTAAAAAAGACCTTTAATTTGTGTGGTCATAGGTCATGAGTAGTGTAACAGGTCAGTCCCTCAAAGAGGTCAGCCCTTGGAGTTGGCGAACTCTAGAGCTGGAAATAACCATTCTGATAAAAATTGTTTTTTCTGACAGAGGTTCTTACTGAATAACTTGCTAGACCTTTCACAAAAGAATTGTTGATGATTTCTGAGACTTGGCAAATGTGAAGTCTCTAGTGAAGGCTGTAGTGCAGTAGGGAGGCACTCAACTCAAAACCACCTGAGCACAAATCCAGAAAATCACAGTGCAGCAGCAAGCAGCTCAGTGGCAGCTTATTGAGGTTGATCTTGATCTGATCAACTTGACACAGTGCTTCAAATGTCAGCTAAAAATATTCGGTAGTGGTGAGAGTCGGTATCAAGCAAGTGATGCTAACTAATGTTGCCAGTCTTTCAGGAGCTTCTAGCTGAGCTGTTGGAAGCCTAGGAAGAGGAACATGAAAATAGGATTGGAAAGTAGTCAGAGATGTGCTACTAATATATGACACACTGACACCAAGCAAACTTGGTCTAAGTAATGAAGTGATCATCAGATGTTCACAACTGCAAAAAGCCCTCTGAGCCAAATCCATTGCAAAGGAGATTCAGTTCTTGTCAGGAGAGCTATATCAAGAATGAAACTAATTCTTTATTTTTTCAGGAGAACTTGAAAAAGCACTCACTGTCACATAGCTCTTGGAAAAAAATCCTTAATCCTCTCTATTTCAACTTTCCATAGCAAATACCTATTCATGAACTCTATAGCCTCAAAAATCCTTCTCTAGTGGCACCTCTGTGTGCCTCAGAACCCAAAACTTCTTGAAACAATCAGAAAAAATTTATCTAAATCAGAGTATGTACAGAGCTCTAATAATATGCTTTTGCAAGTGAAAGATATTTGCTATCACAGACCCCTAGTTACTATTCCTATAGAAATTGTAGGTACTGGGAAAGGTAGCAGCGTAGGTGAAAATTTCCATTATATCTGTCTCACTGGTAATAAGGCTATTGAATAAGTCTTACATTTTGTTTTGTGTTAGGCCTAATCACAAACAAATTTTCTTCTATACTTGCTTTTTCTGAGAATACATCTTGCTAAGAAGGAGATAAAAAATGCACACATAGATGCTGCAGAATACAAAACAGAATCAGCACTCATGGCCTGGCTAAAGGCAAGTTCTATGCACTTGTGAAATGTTACCGTCGGTAAAAACTAAGTACCTCCAAATGTAGGCACTTCTTGAATTGGAGTTAAAAGACACAAGACTTTGTGGTTAGATGCCTACAAGAGCTCTCCAAAAAAGAAAAACCTTGGCATGGTTTTCACTGATAAAGATGCCCATCACAAGGAGCAAAAGAAGAATGTTGTGGCGATTCCTTTAGAGTCTTCTTCTACAGGGGACAAGAGGGCATGCAAAGCACACAAGATTGATGTTGCAAGTTGTTCTTGAGGGCAAACAACCTCCTGGGGAAATGTGGAGTACAGAAAATTCTCCTTCCAACTTTATCTTTCCTTTTGGCATATTCTCTCAGGCTCTAATCCTGAATTCCTTGCTCAGGAAAGTCTGGGCTAGAAGAAATTCCTGCTCTGATTCACCCTTACTTGTGATGATTTGCTTTTTAAATGGCCAGGTGTGCTGGTTTTGGCTGGAGTAGAGTTAATTTTCTTCCTCATGGCTGGTATGGGACTATGTTTTGGATTTGTGCTGAACATAAGGTCGATAACGTAGAGATGTTTTTGTTATTGCTGAATAGTGCTTACACAGAGCCAAGGCCTTTTCTGCTTTTCATACTGCTGCACTGGCGAGGGGACTGGGGATGCATAGGAGATTGAGAGGAGTCACAGCTGGCACTGGTAACCCAAA